GGCCTATACATTATATCCCCTCGGTTGGGCTAGCCCCATACTACACAGAAACGTCAACCGAGACGTCTCTGTTACCAGCTTTGCAGCTGGTCATAGCAGTAGTCAAAACATGAAGCAAATCAACATGTGTGTGTGTCTGTTGATTAAGTGGTGTTCATCAACTCTTCTCTCTAGTATCCTTGACCAGATGTACCCTGTAGAAACTCATAAGCATGACCAAGCATTTAACAGTCTAACTAGACATCCTATCTCCACTAAACATTTCTAATACATAAAGTATCTATCCAATATCTATCTGACTAAAAATACCTAACAATGTGCACAGATGTAACTGAAATGTGAGCCACATGTGCACAAGAATAACAACCAGGTGGTGTGTGTGACAGTCAAGTGGCCCAGTTTCCTCCCAGACCACTGGGTTACGATATGTTCCTCCCAGTTTGTCCTGATCAGAAGCTTCTCCATAAACATCCACCACATGTGAAACGTCCTGGTCTCTCCACTGACCCTGTCGCTGACATCGCTCTCCTCCATGTTTACTGTTACCAGTCTGTGTGGGGCCAACGCCGAATGATGACGACAGGCCATATGTGCAGAGGAAGAGACGTTAAAACGACCACATGGATTCTGATCTGACCGCTCTGGCGGTGGATGCACAGTCAGAGGTCAGAGAGGAATAGGATCTAGGATATACATATGCAGGTGGCCCAGATCTGGTCTGAGGACACCTGGTCTGTTCACACTGCTGTGGATAGACCAGGTCTGGGTCACTGGGAGGGAAACTGCAGCTGGATGTGGACGTACAGTAGCTTTACCTGTGGACGGTGGTTCAGGTTAGTGTAATGTTGTTACTGTGTGTTAATAAAGACAAGCATGTGTGATTAACTATTGTCTTCTACTGTGCATGTATCTACTTAGAGATGAATGCACGTGCAGACATGCATGGCATCTTATTGTGTAGCAGGTGTTTGTGGTCTAAGCTTGAGAGTGCGTTTGTTCCTAATGAGCTTAGAGAGGTGAATTTCAGGGTGAAGGTTTAGATTAAGGCTTCAGGGAGAGGTTATGTAACTGTAGGTCCTCACAGGTACTGAAGTACAGTCTATGTGTGTGTGTGCTCGGGACAGTTGGCTATTTTTAGCAGCAAGGAGAGAAATAATTCAGTGCGATCACAGAGCAGCTCGTTCAACTGCTGTCTGACAGAGGAGACGAACTAACAGAGCCCTCTTCCTCCTCCTCCTCCTCCTCTCTGTGTGAGACAGGTGAGGTTTGAGACCTGTCTGAGGCCCTAGTGGCTCAGTCCACAGCTAACGCTCTGATTTGCCAAAAGGAAGCACTCTGTAGAGATATTTTACTGTGAATACAAGAGATTGGGTGAATTCAGTTTGTTTATATTAAACATAGCCCTGCTGAGGACATGCTGCCCCTTTGTGCTGCACATGGACTAGGACACAGCGACAGGTCCAACCATATGCCATGGCCCCAGAAGGATGCAGCCAGCGAGTTTGTATGTTTGTGTTATTCCCTACAAATCCCATCCAGAGATTAACATCACCCGTGAATGTGGTCTACTCACTGCGATGTGTGAGTCCAGATCCTGGTTTAGTTCATTAGTCTGAGCCGTAGACCTCCAACATTGTCCAACAACTATTAACCACACTCCACTGAGCCACACTGGCAGGTTTCTTCCTCAGGAAACGTGAGACCCGTCTGTTTTCAGTAAACAACTAACTTCTTTCACCATTTGTGAACTAACTAACTGCACAGAATATAAAGAATCTTTGACTGACTGGGGTATGTACACAAGCACATACAGACAGGTGACAGCTGACAGGACAAACCCCCACCCAGCGCCCAGTGGGGCGTTGTCAGGGCCGAGTCTCCAGAGCAGTGTCAGGTCTCCTCCTCCTTCCAAACCAGATCCCCTCATTGTGTCCGACCCCGCTGTGTCGTCCTCATGAAGCCATTCAGTGACCTAGAGCTGCAGCCATGAGTCAGTTCACAGGTAGAAAATGAACCTCAGCTATTTAGAAGCAACAGTCACCGACATGTTCTGGCTCCACCTTCTTTAATGTGAGGAGCTGATGCTTTTCTTTGTCAGACATGAGAATCAGCTGAATCTCTGTGGATCTGCTGGTTGGACACAGGACGTGAAGACAAAATGGGTACTTTCCCTAGTTTTAAGTTCTACAAATAAAAAATAAGTCAGGACAATAACCAGCAGATGAATCAGTGATCCCTGCATTATTTATTTCCACTCATCTATTTAATCCTTTCATTTGTCACCGTCTGTATGTATCTGCAGGTGGATCGAGGCTGAACCGGGTGACGAAGGACTGGTTCAATCTCCAGTTGATGACAACTGTTTGCTGTTGCAGTCATAGCACGGCCAGGTCGTGAGGACTTGACTGCAGCTGTAGTCTCACAACTGAGTAGCAGAGAGATTCACTTCTGTCTGATTTCTATGTTGTCAAATGAGCCTCAGCAAGCAGAAAGATAAACAACCACCGGCCAACGATCCCGAGCGACTTGTCCATACTGACGCCCAAACACAACCTCAGCCGTGTGTGTGTGTGTGTGTGTGCTGTGAAGTTTCAACTACTTCACCTTCCCAGTCAGAGGCAGCTCTTATCGCTTCTACCCATGAGGCTGCAGTAAAACTCATACTGTGCTGAGCTGCTCACGCAGCTGCAAACCATGAGAAATAACTGGCTGTCATCTCGACTGAACCATCCGAAGTTGGGACAAGACACAGGAGAATGCAACTGAAAATAGTCCCAACAAGTGCCCAGCAACTGCCTTTTCTCTGGATAACACTGTACATGCATGGTCATAAACAGCTGTATGATCAGTGTTAACTCACCTATGCAGACAATCAAGCTTCTCCTTTCTACCATCTCTCTTTAGTAGTCCTGTCCATAAGAAACACTAACAGATCTATTTTTGGTTTGTACACAGCCAGCTACTTCATAAATCATTATTAGAATCTGCTTCTGCAGAAACGGAGCCGTTTGCATACATGTCCACTGGCTTTATTCACAGTAACTGTGATCTGCTTTGTCAAAGCTTAAAATTAAAACACGAGAATTAAAGATACACCCCAACAAGAGCAGAGGAGCTAACGTTATACTTTAGTAAAATAATACACCAATGACCAGAACACTAGGCATATTGAGCCCGACACACCAGTGGGATTAAACACGGATCATTCAGCTTCTCTCAGCAATAAAGTGATGAATAAGAAAACTAGGTCTAACCTGGACAATAAATACAAACAACACACCAGGTTTTACATCACATCGGGCACAGTATAAAACACCACAATGTCGATATGGACACACTAATCTTCCTTTAAAGCTGATAACATCACGTTAAACCGTCCATTAAACGCCACAGGGACGCTTTATGTTCCCATACATATATAATGGAATGCGTTATATTTAATTTGACAACATTAAAGAAACTGTAGAGGATTCAAAATAACTGCGGTAAATCAGCCGCCGTTCAGTTTTCCGTGGTCAAACCAGCCGCGCTAGAATTTGAAGTGCGCCTATATACTCCATATACTTACATTTACGGTAAAAGGTATTGAAACGGGCCAAAGCTCGTGATCTTCAAAATAAAATACCTTAACTCCAATGCTGTATTATTTATGAACTTTCAAGTTTAATAAAAACACTTTTTTTTAAATATTTACAGCATAGGACATCATTTATGGATTCTACAAGACCCGCACTGTTACCACACAAAGAATCAAGCATTTCTACTGGACCATTCTGGAGAAAACTCACATTAAAGATGTGACTCCAATGCTGTATTATTTATGAACTTCCAAGTTTAATAAAAACACTTTTTTTTTAATATTTACAGCATAAGGACATCATTAAGCTCACGATTTTCAAAATAAAATACCTTAACTCCAATGCTGTTTTATGTTGTACAGTTTTATTACTTTTACTGTACTACATTTATTTCTAAAAGTTATGTAATTGTTCATTTAGTAATGTAGTTCCTTGATTTAAAATATATATTCCTAATGAATCAGTATATAGTTAACGCAATGTCAAAATTTTGAGTATACAGCTGCTGGCATGACAGTCTGACACATTGATAAACATTAATAAACTGCGCTTGTGAGTTTTAAGAAAGTTACTATAATTATACATTTTTAAATGACATTTTATTGGTGGAGTAATTGTTTTACAGATTCAGTGTGACAGCTGTTGTAGGTGGTTCCATACACAGTGCCTGCAGATGGACACAACACAGCTGGAGAGGGCAAAACTGAAAGACTGGAATTGTTGTCTTTGTGGCAAGTATGGGGTATGAGGATGGGCTCAAGTGGACTGGTGTGTGGGTGTATGAATGAAGCAGCTGCATGCAATAACCAATCTCTCTCGTTACTTAGTGAGGGGAAGGAGTGACAAGAGGAGGCTGGAGACAGGAGTAAGTCAGGAGACGAACAATTGAACTGTCACAATATTTAAAAAAAAAATTAAGACATTTGAGCAGTGACAGTGCGTCTTGGTGTATATTACTGGAGAACTCACAAGTTAACAGTGACATCTCTCCAGAATGGTACAGTAGAAATGCTTGATTCTTTGTGTGGTAACAGTGCGGGTCTTGTAGAATCCATAAATGATGTCCTATGCTGTAAATATTTTAAGTAAAGTGTTTTTATTAAACTTGAAAGTTCATAAATAATACAGCATTGGGGTTAAGGTATTTTATTTTGAAAATCGCGAGCTTTGGCCCGTTTCAATACCTTTACCGTAAATGTAAGTATATAGAGTATACAGGCGCACTTCAAAGTCTAGCGCGGCTGGGTTGACCACGGAAAACTGAACGGCGGCTGATTTGACCGCAGTTCAAAATAACGAGCTCCTGGACACAGATTCAACGAAGGAGATAACACATGTATCTGGGGGAAGTGAACTTTACCCGTGTCATGGATCAACTCGCAAGACGCCGGTCGAGCCGACACTTCCCCAGCTCTCACTCACCTGCGTGTGGATGAGCATGGACTCTGTCGGCGGAGTTGAGCGGTCCGCTGGAAACTCAGCTTCTCCGGGTTCGGACTTATGTTTGTCAGAGACCGGGAAACATTAATAACAGTTGCAAACCGGCCACGACACGGCAAACCTCCCAGTTTTAAATCGGTGATCCATTAATGTGATGAAAGTGAGAAACAGCGAGGGAGAGCGACCGAAGTTGCGGGCTGAGAGACTGAGTGAGCGGTCTATTGACGGGCGAGGCGAACGGACAAGATGGCGTCAAGTTTCTGTAGGATAAGGAGGAAGACACCGGATGTTGTACTGTTGACCTTCAAAATAAAGCTGACGGGACATATTAGCAGTTATCAATTTGAGTTGATTACTTCAGTGTCAAATTATGTAATCGTATTGCATGTTTTTAATTATATTTTGTCAATGTATAGCTTTTTCTTGCACATATATTTAAATATATTTACTAATTATAGTTAGGCGTGGAGCTGGGGTAAATTTTTTTTTTTGCATAGACAAAGTTTCACAGTATCCATTAAATATTTGGTAGCATGCTCATTTAAGGGAAAATTTATTGTAATACTGGGGCCGAAATTAAATCTATAATTAGCGTTTGTTTATAATGCAGGTCAGTTGCCCTTTTTTGATTAGTGATGTGAAAGTTATTGCCAACTCTTGGAAGAATGTTTATCAAGAGACAGTAACATCAGGTGACCCACAGTACAATTATTATACATTCTGTACTTGCAAAGTGTAAACAGTAGCTCTAGAACAGATACTGTGTGTACTTTATTGATTGTATTTTGTGCTGACACCAACTCAGTTCTCATAAGCAGTCAGACTGCAGAGATACAGATATATCTGTTCCAGGAGCCAGCAATGATGCAGGACTTGCCACGATTCCTAAGTCTGACTGTATAAATGGCTCTCAGGGGGACTGCCCCCCTGAGCATTTCCTTCATGCAACCATATTGTGTGTATTGAAATGTCCCTTGCTGCAACAGTAATTAAACCCTTATATTATTCACATAAGTGGCCTCGATCTGCTTTGTCTATTGTTGAAATAACCCTAACACCAACTATTTAAAACAAATAGGCATACTTCATTTAATGTTTTTAATCTCATTCTAAGACCATGTTTGTAGGCTGTATTGGGTTTATTGTGAGATATGTGTTGTTTTGTTTATATGCAGTTATCTTAGAGACAATGTGCATTTTTGCATCATTCTAAATTATACAAAACATTTTGCCCATGTGATAGCAATTACAAAAGACATGTTTCCATTTATTTGGTTTAAATTGCCACACATGAACTCAGAGGAAGTGCACAGAGGGTTCAGCTCTGCCTTCTTCACTGTGCAATAACCATCTCATAGATATGAGTGTGTGAACTGGCTGTGCTTTGGATCTTGATTTTGGTTGTACACACACCAACTCCTTTTTGTCCCTTGAGTGGGATGTTCTTAAATACTGCGTTTTATTAAAAACAAAGCCCTAACATAAAATACTTAAATAAATAAACCAAGCCTTTTTCAATAGCTTGGAGTACTCAGGCAGTTCCGTTTTTCCTTATGTTAAATACCTGGTATATCAAGAACATGATATCGAACAGCCTGCTGTAACCGGAAGTTGTAAGGCTTAGTGTGGTGACTTGACGTATGAGGTAGCAGCGGTGCGTGTGCTTGTGTCCGCGCGCCTGTGTGCGTGTGTTTCTATTTCTTGCTGTGCACAAAAAAAAAGCCCGCCCCGCCCACACCACCGCCTCTGCCAGGCAACGGCGGCGCTCGAAGCTCCCAGGAGGCGACGAGGGGAGGAGAGGAGGGCGGGCGGCAGGTGGATGTTTCCGTGCAGAGAGCCAGAAAAAACAAAAAACACCCCAACACCACCGGTAATATGATAATAAAAACAACGGGCTGCCAAAAGCAGATTCAAACTCCCAGTGGTTCTTGTACATGAGCTATTTCATTGATTAACATGCACAGAGCAGGCTCCTAGCATCCAGACCCTGTGGAGAAAAAAGCAGTAGGACTAATTCCACTTCTGCTTTCATTCACCCAGGTCCTGTATTTAAGTGAAATCTTGATGTACTTTACATGAGTAGCCTTTTCCCTGTCCTTTATACTTCTGCTGAACTACATTTCTGCATTTCAGGTGGAAATACTGCATTTTTACTGCACTCTGTGTATTTAATTGCAGCAGTTGCACATAACCTTTCAGATAAAGATGATACACACAGAATATATGAACAGGTGATGCTTTTTTTTCAAACAGTGATTAATATTAAAGGAGCAGTTGGTTAATTCACTCCAGCCCAAGTCAGACTGTCAGGGGAGTGTACATGTTCTGTAGGGGACCTTGAATCTACTGCTGTTTGCCTCTATATTGATTTATCCTCCATGCTGGAGCAGCTGTTTACTGTGTTATCTTACAGGTTCACACCGTGCTTACTCACAGACGTCAGGGTAGGAAAAGAAGTCTGACTTTACATTCTGCGTCTGTCTTTACTTGGTAGGGGATCAGCTGGAAGCTGATCCTGACTCTGGAAACATGCTCCTCAGCAGATGTGACCACACGTCACCAGGGTCTGTCGTGACACATGCGCTGTTAGTCCTGACATCAAATCAGCCCGTGAACACGTTCTCTGACCATGGATGGATTACTGAATGGGCCTGGTGGCCACAGGTCCACCAGAGAACTGTGAAGGACTGTTAACCTCTTCACTGGAAAGTCAATTAAATGACTGCAAGACAGCTATGAAGGAATGTAAAACTAATAAAGAGACACACAATGACTACAAAGAAATGCTAAACTACTTAAAAAGGACAAAACAATAAAAAAAAATCAATGTAAAATTGTTATGCAAAATGAGTAAAAAATTAACACAAAATAGCTAAAAACAAACACAAAACAACTAAACAGGGACACAGGAAAAAACTGCTTGATAAATGATGCAGATGTTTTATCTCAATGTGTGAATCCTGCTCCTGGATGTGTAGGAGGGGTGGGGGCCTTTTAAATGTTTGTGCCCAGGAGCCCATCGTCTCATAATCCGTCCATGTCTCAGATGTTCTTTCAATCCGAAACACAGCAGGAAACACTGCTGTGAACCTCCTACATACTGACAAACCCTCGATGAAGCAGGTCTGTGGGAACAGGAGTGTCTGCAGAAACGTTTCCTTTCTGTTCATGGTGCCAAGCTGCGCCCGCTGACTGGGGCGTCCACACAGAGCAGTTCTCTAATGACGTGTTTCAAACGAACCGCCTAACAGCAAATATGCAGTGTTTTCAGAAACCATCAGACACAGTGGAACATCACACTCCCCCTCTCTGCTGCTGCTGCCTGTCCAAACCTGCAGGAGCTGAGGTGGGGTGTTAACTGTAGCTGTCAAACTGTGACAGGGACTTTTTTAAACCTGAAATTTAAAAACATCAGTGTTGGACCTCACACCCTTTGATTAAGTCAGTGTTTGTGAATTCAAATGTACTGAAGGAACTCTGCCTCTTGTTGTAGGTTCCTCACTGTGTGTGTGTGTGTGTGTGTGTGTGTGTGTGTGTGTGTGTGTGTGTATGTGTGTGTGTGTTAACAGTGACTACAAAAGGGATGTGTGCAGATGTGAAGTGGCTGCATTAGGGTATTCATTCTGTGCCTAACGTAAAGGCTCCCCTTCTTCAGCTTCTAGTATTTGGATGTGTTACTGTTCCTTCTTTGACTAAGATGAGCCTTGACATGTTCTCACCATGTTTCTGTGAAGATTCAGCTGTAAGTTCACATGATCACATTGCATCATCAGTGCAGATCTGTGCCTGCACGTTCACACTGCCACCCTCCAGTTCCACCACATCCCAGAGGTTTCTACAGGATTCAGATCTGGGACCAGTTTGAGACCTCTCGTCAAAAAGGCGTCTCCGCCCACAGAGCTGCAGCTCGCTGGATGCTTTTACTTTTCTGAGCAAACTGTGCTGCTTCAAAATCCCAGAAATACTCAAAGCAATGATCACTGGCCTGTGTCTTATGGGTATCATGCATTGCACTGCAGGCACATGACTGGCTGATTGGACATGAATAAACAAGTGTACAGGTGTTCCTAATAAAGTACTCGGATGCAGGTGTGATATCCATTTTTACATTTCTGATGAACATGTGGCTTGGATTCACAGCCTTAGTCTTCTGGCCTGGAGTCAGTGTGTGCAGGTGTTACTTTTTAAATAGTGTGATGTGTGTGTGTGTGATCATATCCTTCACTCATCCACACACGTCTGGACACAAGTCAGTCAGTTTGGCGTATTTCCAGAGACTGAATCAGACTGAGTCTCTGTCCTCAGTCGCACCCTGTTGGTGCAGGTGAATAACAACACCTTCAGCTCCACCTGTGATCGTCTCTGACACCACTGATGCTCTGTGGAGGAGCTACACACGGAGTCTGAGCTGTGTGGACTTCGTTAAATCCGGGACAAAGGTGTCTCGTGGCCACAGAGCCGCGAAGACAGATGGTCCTCTCCTGTGTGCTGGCACTTATTGATCAGGGCGAATGGTTAATTCACCTGTTTTTCTCCCACTGTGCTCCTCTTCAGTCTGTGCTGCGGGGGGAATACAGACATTATCGGAGCCTCGTCTCTCCTCATATTTCACTGCTGAGGCCTGAGGATAATGAAGCTCTGCAGCCTGATGACGATATTGATTTAATGATACACAGCACTGCTGTTCTCTGGTCCTCCTTCAGAACAGTGAAGTGGATGAAAGGTCTCTGCATCTTTGCATGTTAGTTTAGCTGTTTAGTTGTGAATTTGTCTCATGTCTGTGTCCACAGAGTCAGAGGCTTTTATTCTGAAGTCTGCCCACAGCTTCTACTTATGGAGGTGTTCTAGAACTTTTACCACAGAATGTTTTTACTTGTGTTTGTTCAAAATCACATCAGCTCCAAACAGTCACATTTGCTTAGGCAGTTATCAACAGCAACACACAGAGACGGTAAGGAAATAATCTTTTAAACAAAATCTTAAGTTAAGAAGCTGTCACGATGGTGCTAACAAACAACTTGAAGCTGCTGGGGACAGTCTGTGCTACAGTTATTTAAACTTGGCTGATTTCACATCAGAAATTCTGGATAAACAGTTTCCTGTTTGTTCCTGAGGAAACATTTAGACTTGTTTCGATGTTTTGTGTGGTGAATCTGCAGGTTCTCAGCAGACCTGAGGCCCACACACCTGCAGCTACTGCATTCAATTATTTTTCTAGTGAGCTGCTGAAATAGAAGTAAGAACAACACTGACAGCTCGGTGCCATTTGAAAATCAGCATGTGAAACAAACATGGACTCAATCGAACAGAAACATATCTAGAGATGCTAAAACAAACCTGAAGTAAAGCTGGTAGATTTACTGTATGTGAATATTGAGTTTCATGTTTTGGAAGACTTGGCTTTGCTGTGATTGATAAAGGGAACCCTCTGCTGGAACCAGTGACAAAATCAGTGTAGATCCTTTATTCATGCTAATGTTACCACTTTGACTTTTGTTCTGTTACTTCACCGTTATTTCATGGCAACAGATGTTTTCCCTGGAGCAGACACAGCCCAGCAGCAAGGGCCGACATGCTGCAGCCCCCGACCTCCAGCCACAACCCCCCAGTGATGGGCAGATGTCCTCCAACACTCATACTGCAAAAAACATGAATGAGTTTCAGGAGGCAGCAGATCAAGCAGCTGGATCAACTGCAGCACCACAGGTCTACCCTTCATCTTAATGTGATTTCAGAAAATGATCTATATTATGAGAGTGCTCATTATTAGATTAGATCTCAGCTTTGCTGTTGTGCAGAGTCCATGTAAAGCCAATGAAATGCAGTTAGCATGTGCAAAGAAACATTTCCAGATAAAATGCAGATAAAGTAAATATGGAAGCCGTATCTTGCAGCATATATGTAAAGTGGTTGTGCCATATATACCTTTGTTTATGTACAGATTTGCAGATCAGTGGCAATGATGCTTGTTATTTATTGATTATAACTGATGAATTAACGTGTTTACTACTGTAGTGTTGCAGCTGGTGGAGCTGTTGGCTTTATAATCAGCTCACTCTGAGACACATGATCGCTTATTGGTTGATTACATGTTGTTTTATTAATCTGCAAGCTAACTAAAGCTCCAAAATAAATGTAGTACAGTGGAAAAAAGAACAACTATATATATATAAAAGGTAATGCAAAAAGTATAAAGTGAAAAGCAAAGTACGAGTACCTTTACTTAAGTAAATGCAGGCCTCCAGAGTTACTTTCCACCATTACAACAGCAGGTTACTTCACACTTTAGAAACTCTGATCATAGATAGAAACATGCTGCTGCTATTAGGATTTTAGATTTTTGTTGTTGTTTAAATGTATGTTTTATTATAAATGTAATTTAAAAACAGAAATATGCAGCTAGAGAAACTAAATGTAGTATTTATTATAATATATCAAGACAGTATCCGATACTCTATATCACGTCTATTTCCATAATTATTAACAAAATTAAAAAAATATTTTAGAAATATCACAGTGACTATGTACAAAAGATAAAGTGTTTTGGTATGAAAATCCCCATTTTTCCTGTATCATAAATACATTTCGTGTTGTTTGTAAATAAACATCTGGAAAATCGGTCACTGATCCACTGAGTTGTGATGATTTTGATGGTGGTGGACAGACCTGCTGCTGACATACAGACGCTTCAGAAGGCTGCCCTGTACCAACATGGCGGCTCACGAGGGCTCTGTCTGTAACAGCAGTAGCTGTCTATCAGAGCTGGTGGCAGGTGTGTGGTCTGCACGTTTCTCATGATCTCTCCTGTTTCCTACTGAACAGCGAGCAGTGAAAAGCAGGAATAGGCGTGTGCAGCAGGGTAAACAGAGATGCAGACATTGCCACCATCAGCAGAGGAGGAGTTTAAAGGATGATCTGGAAACACCAGCCAGGACTCCAGAAGACCAGGAGCCTGTGCTGATCCACGGCCTGAGCGTAGAGCGCTACAGAGCCATCTACAACTCAGTGTTGCAGCCCCCAGTCCGCACTGCTCTGTCCTCATCCAGAAACACTGTAATACTGGAAACTTGTTCAACCTTACTAGTTTCTCCCTTCTCCCCTGAGCTGTTTCCACCTGTCTCTGATTGTTATGCTAAGACAAGCTGAATATCTTTGTTAGCTTGTATTTAAAATATCCCCAATGGTTTATTTTTTCTGACATTTTAGACCAAACAATCAATCAATGAACTGAGAAAATAAGGCTCATAATCATTAGTTGCAGCCCTATGTGAAGGAAAAGAGCATTTGAAATGTTAAAATCCTCAACTATTAGTTGTTTAATTTTAATCTGTAATGTTCCCTGTTTCTTTTTTTATTGTAAAATCAGTGTGAAAAATGTGTGAATATCTCCTCTTTAACTTTGTATCTTTTCTCTCTTTAATGTTTTCAAAAGCCACATTCCTTTCTCGCTGTCCTGGATGTGCGTACAAACTAACCTCCATGTGTTTTAAGTGATTTTCCTGTGGCTGCTCTGTGCTGGTGGCTCTCTGTGAGCGTCTGATGTGGTCTTTTTGAAGGACTACGTCGAGCAGGTCCTGGAGGTGAAGCAGCGTCTGTGGACGGCGCTGGGTCGACCTCTGCTGGAGGAGGTGGTGATGGAGGACGGACGAGTGGAGGTCAAAGAAATATTTGATCTGACTTGAGATGAGATGGAAAGAAACCTCTGGACCTGTTTTATATATATGTTAGAAACATAGCAGTAAATGTATAGACATGTCATTCAGAAGAAGTAATAAAAGTGTTTTGATGGAATAATAATGTGCATTTTTCCTCCACTAGTTACAGTTAAACCTGTTTGCTTGGCTGTTGGTTTAGAAACAAACTGCAGTTTCTTATCTCACCTCAGCTCAGTTTAAAAACACTGATTAATTAGAAGCTGCTGTTTAAAGAAACATTCATAAATGTGAAATGTGACACTTTCCGTCCTGCCTCAGAATGAGTGGGAAACGGCATCTTCTGTGTAAAAAATATAAGTGACATAACAATCCCAGGTTCAGGTGCTACAGAACAGACTGCATTCGGTCTGTTAAAGACAGTTATATCCCGCATGAGCATGATGTTACAAGCAGTAGGATCAAAGGTTCATACTGCACAGACAGAGTGAGAGAGCCAGCAGTGTGTCACAGCAACAGGGTCGGCCACACCTACTACTCACTTGTTCTTCCTTCCTCGAGTTGCTCTGAGAATTTTCTAAGCCACTGCTCAGCTCGGACTCCTTGCCAAAAGTCTTTAGGCTAAAGTCAGGAGCTCACTGAGACTGTGAATACGGCTCCAGGTGTGCGACACCTCAGCTGTGACGTGATCGTAGCTTAAGTCTCCCTGGTGTTTGCTTTGTTAATCCAGGAAGTGAAGCCTTGTTCTCCCACAGGTCACTTGGCTGCAGGTACAAGGTCCCTGTGAAACAGCTGGTGTTTCTTCCTTAACTGTGAGTTCAGGAGGCAGCAGCTGAGTCCCACTCAAAGTAAGTTTAACCTGTAAATGTGGTTTTAAACTGTGTTATCAGTTATCACAGCTTCAGTGTGCCTGTAAATGTGGTTTTAAACCGTGTTATCAGTTATCACAGCTTCAGTGTAGCATTTCAGTGTGCGGAGCCTGTACTTCTTATTTCACTGTGCAGTAAGTTAATAAAACACTGGCACATCCCTTGTCTTTCTGTTATAAATCACAGTTCAGGTGTTTCATCAGTGTGGTTTCCCTTCACACACATTAACACACAGAAGGCTTAAGAAAATCACCTTCAGTAGCCCAACAGAAACCCAACCAGACATACGTAAATCTATTCAAAAAACAGTTTAAAAGTCTGGATGAGAGGGAATGAACAAGAAGCTTTTAGTAGCAATAACTGAATAAAAACATAAAGAAATACAGCAACTACATGGTTTTAGAA